TGTGTGTGTGTGTGCACTTTGGATGGGTTAAATGCAGAGCACTAATTCCGAGTATGGGTCACCATACTTGGCCACGTCACATTACATAAATTTCATTTATTCAAATTAGTTTAAGTTTTTCATCTAATATTTATATTTTTTTTTCTGCTTAATTTCAATTAAAGATGTTTTTTTTTTAGTTAACAATATCAACAGTGATTCACTTGCGTATCTTCACACTTGTGTGATCCTCTACATCAATTTGTGTTTTAGATTGGAGGCGTTTTCCGAAGGAGCTGCGTGTGAGGGAGAAGAGACCCCTGAGAGACAGTGAGTGTGTCTGATGCTGTTAACTGGCTCTTACGCTCTAATACTGGACACTGTGTTATGCTGCAGTCGAGCAGTGACACCCAGTCCTGGAAGCATGCGTTTTTTTAAAGCCCAGATAAGGGAGCAGGTGAGGCTGATGTGCTCATGAATGAGTGTGTAAAGACGAGCCGCACCGGCAGGTCTGCGCTTCGCTCTTGACTCATCGGCGTCTCTGGGGAAATCAGAGAGACGGCTCTCAGCCACGCTGCACACACATCTCCAAAATGAAAGGATAATAAAAAGAAAGAGAAAGAGGAGATGAAAGTTTAGGCTTGAAGAGCATTTGTCACCAAGAAACGAGAGACAAGATTATTTTTAGTCCTTCTGTGTCTTTTGTCAGAGGAGCTGTGATCAATGAGTTGATGTTATTATGGGAGGATGTTGCTGATTTCATTTCCACTGTCACAAACTCGGTTTTGCTTATATGGTTGCAGAAAGCCCAGCTGTTCCCAAACAAACCAAACAGCCACGAGTGAACAAAGAGGAGATCATACGCAAACTGGAGGTGCACAAATACCTGTTTCGGGTGCCACTCATGTGTAATGCACTCAAAAATAAAGCGTTTTAATCCATGTTATTACACATTTGCATATATAATGTGACAGACTGTGTGTTTCTATACAGACTCTGGAGCAGAAAGAGGAAGAGGGGAGTTCTGATGAAGAGGAGGGAGAGAAAAAGAAGCCAGAAGAGCAAGAGGCTGAGGGAGAGGAGGAGTATGATGAAGAGGAATTTGAGGATGTAAGTGACTCTTTTCTGTTGTGATATTAAGTCAGTATGTTTGATCTCTAGATCAACAGGGAATGTAAAGAAATGGTGTTCAGTTTAGAGGGAAAATGAACCTGCAATTTGTATATTTACAATCTTAATTTAAATGTATACCTTGAATGCATTTTAAGTCACTTGGATAAAATATTCTGGTCAACTGATCAATTGACTTTAAATATTCTGGCTTTAATACAAGATGCGCTTAATTGGCAGCAGAGTTATTTTAGTATTATTTATATACTCTAATACAAGGATTTATCAGTAACACTTTACACTAAGGTTCCATTAGTTAACATTGGTTACTGCAATAACTAACATTAACTTGCAGAGAGCAAGAAATCGTTACAGTATTTATTAATCTTTGTTAACATTAGTTAATAAAAATATAACTATTGTTAGTTCATGTTAGCTTAGGTCCATTAAATGATATTAACAGATACAACTTTTGATTTTAATAGTTAGTAACTGTTGAAATTAACATCAACTAAGATTAATTTCATTGATAGTTCATGTTAACTAATATAGTTAGCTAATGTTAACAAATTAAACCTTATTGTAAAGTCTTACCGATTATTTATATTTTGAATTAGGTTTTATTTATTTTTTCATTTTAATTTCAGTTTTAGTCATTTTGTTATGTGCTTTTGTCATTTTATATTTTATATATATTAGTTAGCATTTTTTTTATTTCAGTTTTAGTAATTTTAGCACTTCAGTTAAAACGTATTTTATTCCAGTTAGTTGCCAAGGCCACATTTAAAATTTGAATTGAATATTTATATTTCATTTCCTCTTTGTTTCAATTAATGGGTTTTAGTTAACAATAACAGATTGGCAGTATATGTAGCATAATGTTCTATTGATTTTATTATTTCAACTTGTCCCTCCGTTTATTTACCAAAAAAGGGGTAAAATCTAGGTTACAGTGAGAAGCTTCACATTTCTGCTTTTAAAACCAATAAAAAATGTCCCCCATTTACTTCTTCTAAGTGCCTTGATTTTTGCCTTTTTAGAATACAACGGATGAATTGAAATAGTGTGGTGATCAATATTATGCCACAAATGCTACTGATTGAAGTGAACTTGTATTAAACTAACATTCAGTATAAGTTTTAGCCAATTAATCCTATGTATGTTTGTAACAGGAAACAGATTACATCATGTCCTACTTTGACAATGGGGAGGAGTTTGGAGGAGACAGTGATGAAAATATAGATGAAGCTGTTTACTGAAGCAGGTGATGGCGGCTCCATAGCGTCCTCCTCTGGCCAGTGAGTGTCTCTGAAACCGGTCTGTCCCTCAGGAACGTTCTGGGCTGGATCATTATGTTTGGCAGCTGATGTTGAAATCTGTATGCAGTGGATTTCCTCTCATCCGATCGGTTGGCAGGGCGGCTGATTGCTGACGAAGAGCGTTTGAATCTGAGAGCCATGGCTGGAGGACACAGAGAAAGACACTGAGGCACAAACTTCTCCCTTAATGCAGCTATACGTTCTTAGAACTTTGTAAATGATTATTAGTTCATAACTGAAATTATTTTTTTAGAATCTTACTTTTAAAACATGTTTTAGTGTACGTTTTAGACCGTTGTATTTGTCTAAAATAGCTTTTATACATCTTAGATTTGTGAAAAAAGACCAGTAAATGTTTATTTTAGATGATAATTACATATTTTATAAATTCTCATGTCAAGTAGTTGTAAATATTTATGTTATTGCCATTTTATGCAATAAAGTCACACTGTGTCAAGACTTTGTCTCATAGATAGATAGATAGATTGATTGATTGACAGTTCTGTCATGTGGCCTGTAGGGGGTGTGATACTACATTAAAGTACTTATGGCACAATCATTTCGACTTCACTGTTTATGTGTAAATGTATAATCAATATTCACACACATACCCAATAACCATACATCATTTTGAATGGAAACATTTAAGTGTATAAACCTTTGCCTGCATTAACAAAAACTGAGCACTTGAGAATAACATGTTTGTATCTTGAAATAATGAAATTGGATTATTTCTTGAAATAACCATACACCCTTTCCTGCATAAACAACAGGACAATCTGAAATTTTATATATATTATATTCTAAATAGAAACACTATAAATATAAAATCTTCATTTATGATGTAAGAAGCAACTGAAAAATGTTTTCCTGAACAAAATGGCCTTTTCCTACAGAGCACCTGAACTAAACACCTGAATCCCTGATTAACCTCATCATGAACCTGTATATGAGTTGCTTTTGTAAAGCTGACTAACATAAAATGTGTTCTCAATACATATATACGTATACATATATATGTGTGGGTGTGTGTATGTATGTATATATATATATATATATATATATATATATATTGTGTGTGTGTATTATGCAATTAAAGTACCACAGTAAATGTCCTTGGTTACGTTGAATCAAAGGTCTCTCATTACCTTTGACATTGTGTATGACTCTTTCACGTCTCTGGAATTTCATTTGACCAGATACACCTGAAAAGAATCCAAATAGAACATTTCATGTTCTTTTGAGCAAATGAATTGTTCTTGACGTGACTCTTCATCCCGAGAACACTCTACTGGTTGGGCAAATTTGCTGAAGATGAATTTAGTAGCTGTCTCAGGCATGCTTTACAGAGGACAGGCAGCGGAATCCTTCCAGGAATAAGTCTGGGCTTTTATTCAAGGAAGCAGAAGGCAGTTCATCTCCAGTGGAAGATTACAGCAACCGGAGATGACTGACATAAGAGCAGTCAAAAGAATGTGCTGCAGTGATATATTCACACTCAATGCCAACAATCAGAGGAGAAATCTAGAATGCTCAATTAAGTCAAAGATATCCTGATTTTAGTCTAGCTACACTGTTGAGCTCAGGGTTAATGACAAATGTCAATAATAATGTACAGCATGTTTATGCTCAGGAAATAGTGCCATTTTTGGCAGAAAATTTGGGGACCTCCATAAGAGGGCAAAATTCAGTGGTCATACAATACAAATTCTAAATCTGTTTTCCCAGTCTTCAATATATGACTAGAGCCTTACAGTGTACCAATAGTTTAATATACTAAATATTAATATGTATCAAAATAGAACATTTCTCTATTTCTCAAATATAATTGTACCATACCACATTTACAATCTGTGCTTTTATAACGAACTATTGAGAACAAAATGGACAAAAATTCGACATCAATGTGTTATGTTTAAATCAAAATTTCAATTGAAACCATGCCAATGCAATTCCACTAATGCCAACATAATTTTGTAGTCTACTCAAAAGAATGTTGTGGTTGATAGTGTCAAATGCAGCTAAGATCCACTAGCACTAATAGAGAAAAACAACCATGCTCGGATGATAAGAGCAGGTCATTTGTAACTCTGATGAGAGCAGTCTCAGTACTATGGTCTAAATCCTGACTGGAAATCCTCACAGATACCATTTCTCTCTAAGAAGGAACATAGCTGAGAGGATACTGCCTTTTCTAGTATTTTTGACAGAAACGGAGATTTGAGATCGGTCTGTAATTATCTAATTCTCTAGGATCAAGTTGTGTTTTTTTAATGAGAGGCTTAGTAACAGACAATTTGAAGGATTTTAGGACATATCCTAATGACATTGATTAATTAATAATATTCAGAAGAGGATCTATGACTTCTGGAAGCACCTCTTTTTGTAGCTTAGATGGAATAGGGTCTAATATACATGTTGTTGGTTTTGATGATTTGACAAGTTTATAATTCTTCCTCTCCAATAGCAGAGAATGAGTGGAATTGTTCCTCAGGGGATCTATAGTGCACTGTCTGATGTGATACTGTAGCTGACATTGTTACAATTTTATCTCTAATAGTATCGATCTTGGAAGTAAAAAAGTTCATTACAACTATGCTGTTGGGAAATGTCTGCGCCTGTTGATGCTTTATTTTTCATTAATTTAGCCACTGTAATGAATAAATGCCTGGGGTTCTGTTTGTTTACAACAAGTAAAGAATTAGAATGTATCTGAATATACACAGCTAACCTATGAAGCTACATATTCTGTTCACATATTGTTTTCTTTCACATTTAAAAACAATGATTCTCCTTTGTATGGTTTGCTTGAAGGTTGTACAACAAAGCACAACTAACTAATCTTTGGTTGAAAGGGTTTTTGTGTTACCATGTTAAAGTGTGTCATTTCTTTAACACTAGAATCACCAAACAGATTTTCAATAACAAAAATAAACAGGTTTCCCCAAACCCTCGCCCATCTACCATTGGTTGACAAAAACAAATAGCCACGCCCCAAACTCCCACCATAGGTTCAACCTATGTTGCTATGATCAAACAAACAATGCAATGTTCTGATAGCACAGTGTTTATATTTTTTTCAGGGAAATCGACCTATAAATAGTTTATTTACATTTTTGAAAGGGATAGTTCACCCAAAATTTTTTATTCGAACAGTGTTTGCTGCTAACCCTCATTTTGTTCCAAACCTGTATGACTTTCCTTCTTCGGTGTAACATAGAAGATATTTTGAAGAATGTTTGGAATCAAACAGTTTTGTTCCCATGGACTTCCAAAAACCAAAAAAATTGAAGTCAATAGGAACCAAAACTATTTGGTTACCAGCATCCTTCAAAATATGTTCTTTTGTGTCCCACAGAAAAACGACACTCATATCAGTTTGGAATGACATGGGGGTGTAAATTGTAGTAGATGTCCCAAAACAAAACGGGACCTGTAGTTGTGCGCATGCACGAGTGAGTTTCAGTAAACAGAATCCATCGTATTAGCTGTGTATGTTGTGGATTTGTTACTACATAAATTATTTTTGGATGGACAATCCATTTAATTTAGAAATAAATATGCATTTCACCTTTAAAGGTGACATATCATGAAAATCTGACTTTTCCAGGTTTGAATTAATCTGTAAGTTTACACCATAGACTGTATAAAAACATGGACGTAGTGTCCGTTACGTCACCGGTAGATTTCCGAAGAGCGTTTTTGAAGCTCAAAAGTGGGCGGAGGCGGCCGTCGCCATCTTGGCAGCGCGTCACCGTGCGTCACTCCCGGATAATCGAAAATGGGGCCAGTTGACGAATTACAGTTTAAGTCACTTCCGTGTTGGCTTCACCAGAGAGCGGGAGGTTGCCGCTTGGTTTACACCCATGGCGCCGTCATTTGTTTTCGCAAGCGACAACGTACTAGTAATGCCATGGCGAAAGTTTGAGCAAAACACGTTAACTGTTCTGTCTTTGGCTGCACAGACGAGCACAGAACACTATTTAGAGTCCCAGCCTCAGAGGAGACAACAGAGCAGTGGATTTATTGATTTATTTACTGTATATTGCTGCTGCTGCCACACAGATCTAAAATAAATATGCGATTTATTTCCCAGCTGTTTACCTTCACAGACATAACCGACTGTTTTTGTAACTTATGTGTGTTTTTAACTTAACTTGTGTGTGAATGAGAACTTAGTTTAGTACTCACATGCTGTGACAGCCGCTTTCTGTCCTGTGTGACTATTCATGTGTGCATCCAGAAAACCGTATATCAGAACTTTAAACTCATATGGTTTAAAATGCATGATTTCAGCGTGATAAACATGATAATCAGAACCAAAACAGATGTTTTTAGCAGGTACGAGCTGTAATGGCGCAGCCCTATTCTGCAAAAAGGGGCGGGGAACAGCGGCTCATTTGCATTTAAAGAGACAGGCCCGAAAAACAGCGTGTTTCTGCTTCCACTCAAAATAGGCATTTTCAAAATGATATTATAAATGATCTGTGGGGTATTTTGAGCTGAAACTTCACAGACACCTTCTGGGGACACCAGAGACTTATATTACATATTGTAAAAAGGGGCATAATATGTCTCCTTTAAAATATTTCTAATGTTATTCTAATAGTTTTACTAAGACACTATTGTTTATTTCTTCTAAGACACAGGAGAGAGAAGACAATAAACTATTTTGACTTGAAGTATTAAGGCTCATATCATTCCTGTCAATCACAACATTGAGTCCTTGGCGGTAAGCAGCATTAATCTGCAGGAAGACCTGTACACCACTCACATTACTCTGGAGAAACTGAAGATAACTGGGCTATAACAAAAATAAATAAATCAAATCAAATAACTGCACACTATATTGCTGAACAATTAAATAATAAAAAAAATATTTATTATTTTTTACAATACATAAAAAAACATAAGCTGTCTGTAATAGTAAGATTTAAGGTGAATTAATCGTAATTAGCTTAACTGAACATAAACGTCAATGAGATGTTAACACAAATATACTGAATTTAAATAAATCTATGCTGCCTTGAATCTCTATTTAGTCTGACATTTTCACTTTAAACTGCTCAGCAAATGCAAAGAGTGATAAATGCCAGCAAAGGTTCAGAGACGGCTCCCTTTCTGACCTATGCAGTGGGCTTCAACCACTGATTTATTTGTCTCACACAACATCATGCAATGGCATTACACAACATGTACCAGTCTGATGGAAACGTATAGAAAAATCAAGAAAATACGAGTAGACTGGATTTCTGAGCAAGGTTCAAGTTCAAGAGCTGGAAATGGAGCGAGTACGTGAGCGAGACAGAGGGGGGTCAGGAGAGATACAGTTCCTTTTTGAGAGAGCGCTATAAAGAGGAACAGCTGCACAGTGAGTAAACAGCCGCTTCAGGTTGCTTATGTCTGATTTAATGGTTCCAGGATTGCTGATCTCGGCCTTGACTCAGTTCCATCCCTGCACGCATGCAGTCCTGCACGGATGACTGTGGACAGGGCAACTCCTTTCTGAGTATCTTCTTCACATATTATCAATTTATCAATGTTTTTG